TGAGATCATATGATACATGTCTTTCTCTGTTTGACTTATTTCACTCAACATAATACCCTCCAGTTCCATCCACGTCGTTGCAAATGGGTTTGCTATTATTATTATTATTATTATTATTATTACCTCAGGTGGGGGAACTGAGGTGGGGGGGCTGGGATTTGTCTATGTGTGTGCAGTGAGCTGTTGGGGCAGCAAACTAGGAGCAGTGTGGCGGTGTTTGGGAACGAAATTCTGCTTAGGCTCAGATCCTAGCTTCTTGATTTACTTGGGCAGGTTCTGTAACTGCCCTGTGCCTCAGTTTCCCTGTCTGTAAAAAGGTACCAGAAGAGCATCTGGTGCACAGCGCACACTCAGGGAACTGTTAAGTGTAGTTATGACCCAACCTGGCCGAGTCCCTGCCCAGGGCCATTTCTATGCTCTGGTTCCTTCCTTCCTGTCCGCCCCCACCCCCATCCTATTGCAGATGAAATAACCATGAGATGCACAGCCCCTGGGGAGAAAGTGGAGGAGGAAGCTTCTCCCAAGGGTGTTGCCATGGGGTCATGTGTGGAAAGTGAGTGGGGAGGCTGCCAGTGGCCACTAAGTTGCTCGGGAAGTGGTGGGGATTTCCTCTGCTTATCCATTGCCACCCTGAGTGCCCCCCCCCCCCGCAGTAGCAGCTGCCAGTGTCCTGAGGTAGCCGGAGGTCCCACGCAGTCCAGGCCATGTGGGGACCCGCAGCAGCTGGGACTGGGTGTGCGGACTGGGAAACCGATCTCCCCGAGGGCCTGGCCAGCTTGCGAATGTGGCAGCCCCGCCCCCACTCCCATCCTGTCTCCCAGTTGCTCAGGACTCGGCGACCCCTGGCTACTCTTTCTCTGTCCCCTTGGCTGTCTGTTTTCTCGTCCTCCACCTGTCCCTCTCAGCCCCCTCTGCTCACAGATCGCTCTTCCGGGGGGGGGCGGTCTTTACCACCGGTCACGGGTACATGGTACCTCCCCGACTCCAGCAGAGATCCACCCCCACCCCCATCCCCAACTGCCCCCACTGACCGCCAGAGTCACAAGAGTTCTTGCCAGACCTCGACCTGGGGGCCCAAGGGACTCACATTAGCGTGCTCGAAACTCAGTCCGTCAGCACTCCTCCACTCCCACCCATCCTGGGCAGGAGATGGTTGACACTGCCCTTTCTCTCACCTCCAAATCCAAACAGTCCCCAAACCCTGCTGGCCATTGGTCAGGAATGACTCACAGATTGGCGGCGTGTCTGCTGGAAATGTGTAAGTCTGCAGGGCACCGAGGAACTCGTGGGAGCTTAAACAAACAGGGACTTATTTGTTCACATGACAAGAAGTCCAGAGGCAGGCCACAGCTGTTGCTGCAGTTCAGTGACCTCAGGACCAGAATCCCAGAGATTCTTTTGGTCTTCCTCCTGTCTTTGCCTCATGGAGGCAATGTGGCTGCTGTGGGTCCAGACGGCACCCCTACTTCCAAGGTAGGCAGAAGGGGGAAGGTGAGGAAACCCATGCTGGCCTGCCCCTCCCTCTGGATCAGGAAAGCAAACACTCCTGGAGAGGTCCCAGTGCAGATTTCCTCTTAGGTCTCATTGGTCAGAACTGATCACATGGCTGGTCCTAGCTGTAGGGGAGTCTGGGAAAAGGAATGAGATTATTAGGTTTGGTTCAGACCAATCATGGCCTATCACCTTGAGGCTAGGCACATTGCCACCCTAAAAAAAAATGGAGCTTGATTAGCAGGAAGAAGCAGAGGACACGACAATGAAACAGTGTCCACCAAGGGTTGCATCTCTGTGTCTGGCTCAGCCCCCACCATCTCTCAGCTGTACCACTCCGGGGCCTCAAAGTGCTGATCTGTCCCTTCCGTCTCTGTCCTCCCTTTCCTCTGCACACAGCTGCCTGAGTTGGCCTCCATAGGCCGGGATCGTACTGTTTTTACTCTCTTCTGAAACCTTGTATGGCTCCCTGTTGCCTACGGGAGTTACTTAGCTCAGCACTGGAGCCCCTCCTCAACCTGGCCTCACCTGCCTGTTCAGTCTCTGATCACAGCTAACTCCAGTCACACTAGACCCAAGCCCACTCCTCGCGCCTTGAAACCTTAGCATATGCTGTTCCCACTGCCTGGAAGACCCTCCCCCAACCCCCTGGACCTACTTGGTGGATTCCCCTTTGACCTTCTGTTTGACCTTCTAGACCTGGTTCAAACACCACATCCTCCTCTGTGAGGACTTTCCCAGCCTGGGCATGATGAACTATTCTCTCTGTGGGACATGCGTTGACTTTGTTCCTCCCTGCATGACCCAGGGCCTTGCCCAGGGTCTGACATGATGGACGTTACTTGATGCGCTGCTCCTGGATGAATAACGCAGCCACAGAGTGATTCGCTTGCCCGTAATATGGCTGCTGATGTACGGCCCCGTCTCCAAGTGTCCGGTCCGTGCCCCAGCCTGGCTCCGGAAGCGGTGTTGACCAAGGAATGCCGGACACACTCTTGGTTCCTTTCTGCCCACTTCGGCCCAGTGAGCCCATCAGGTGGTAACCAGGCTCCTTTCCCTCTCGTCTCCCTCAGCGACTTTGAGCAGCTTCCCGACGACATTGCGGTCTCTGCCAACATCGCGGACATCGAGGAGAAGAGGGGCTTCACCAGCTATTTTGTAAGACAGCCCCCCGACCTTCAGCTTCTGACCTCCAAACCTCCAACTCTCTCATCCCCTTAACTTCTCGACAGGGCGATTTCGTAGTAAATATCTTGAGACATTTTTGACAACTCCAGCTTGGGGCCGGGGGTGCTGCTGGCCTCTGGGGGACGGAGCCCAGGGAGGCTGCTCGGCACCAGCCATCGCACAGGGCAGCCCCCCCAAAGAAGTAGCTGGCCCCCCGCAGAATAGCGAGGTTGAGAAACATTGCTCTAGTTCTCGGACCTTCAAACCCCCACCCTCCTCTGCCCCCGGCCTCCCTACACCCTGGCCTGTGTCCTCCCTAGGTTTTTGTCATCGAGGTGAAGACTAAAGGGGGATCCAAGTACCTCATCTACCGCCGCTACCGCCAGTTCTATGCCTTGCAGAGCAAGCTGGAGGAGCGGTTTGGGCCGGAGAACAAGACCAGCCCGTTCACCTGCAACCTGCCCGTGCTCCCAGGTAGGCGGCCGTCCCAGTCCCGCAGCCCGGGGAGCCGGGCGTCCTGCCACACGACAGAGCTGTGGCCCTCGGCCTCTGCTTCCAGGTCCTGGGGGTTACTCCGGGTTTGCCTCCATGCCAACCATCCGTCCGTGGCCCCTCCTGGCAGTTGCAGGCTGCCGCCTCCAGCCTCGTCGCCCTTGACCTCCTGGCCACCCTGTTGCAGCCATCCATCCCCTGTGCATCGCGCGGACTCACCTTCAGCGCCCCCTGCAGCCCTGTCTGAGAGCGGCCCTCTGACTGCCACCCAGCTCCCACAGTTCCCCGGGGCTCCCCCTCCTACCCTCCTCCGCTGGGACACTGTGGGCACCCCATCTTTGCTTCCGGGCAGCCCGCTCACCCCTTGCCTCTTGGCCTCTCTCCCCAGCTCAGTCCACACATGCCCCTCGGATAGGCCCAAATCTCTAGCTGCTCGGCGCCTGCCCTCTGGAGCCCTGCAGGAGTGTTGGGGTGCCGGGTCCATGGGGTGGTCTCGGGGTGCCCCCCACACCCTGCAGGCCGCATACAAGCACCCTTCCCACAAATAGCAGAGACACTTCCTGACCTTTCCTTCTTCAGGCTCCACACTCTGCCTCCTTCTTGCTCTTGCTTTCTCTCTGTCCTGGCAGAGCTCCCGGAGGAGCTGAAGCTGTCCCCCAGGGGCTCCTGGCTTCTCTTCTCCTTCGGAGCCACTTCCACTCGCACCTGCCCCTTCCCTGTCTCTGGGCTGCAGGGGAAGGGGGACCCTCCTGTTCTGAGCCCGCCTCCCCGCCAGGCTCCAGGGAGCTTTGCCCTTCCCTCCTCGGCAGCTTTCCCCAGAAAAGCTTGCCTTTTCCTTATTTTGGACTCTTCCAGGCTCTCCCACAACCTCAGTTCTCCTGTCTTTAGACAAGCCTGTGCCACGAGGAGGCTTTCCGGCCATAAGCCCCCTTGACCCCCGACGGCCCTCAAAATCTCCTTTCTTTTAGGAGTCACTCACTGTCCCCCTTTTCCCCTCTCCTCCCCTGCTCATCCACCAGCTTGGTTTCTGCTCTCACTGCCCCACTGAATTCCCCTTGGGACGGTGGCCCGTAACCTGTTAAGTCGGACTTCTGTGGGCATATCCCGGCCTCACTTTCACTGTCCTGCTTCCTCCTCTGGGAAGCTCTCCCTGACCTCCTCCCAGGTCTCTTCCTACCTCACCAGCTGCTCCTCCAGCTCCTTACAGAATCTACCCTCTCTGATGCTTCTGGGAAGGTTCTTAGGCGTTCTCTGCAGCCCCATCCCCTGCTTTCTTCTCCCTCCCAGCACCCTCCCTGCAACGAGGTAATCTGACCTCTGATTAACTGCTCTCTTGTTGCTGCTAAGTCCCAAAGGCCTCTCTACCCCAGACCTCAGATGCTGCCCTCCTGCTGGACACCAGCCCTTGCCCAGCTCACAGGCAACAGAGCCAGACGTTTGTTTGCCTTCTGCTGGGGGTTCTCGGGGGATGGTTCTACCAGGCCCCCCCGCCTAAGGCCCCTGGAGAGGACATTTGTCTTGGGTCAGCCATCATCTGTTTCCCTTTCTCCCTAAACACGCTGCCTTGCTTTTGAGGAATGATTCATTCATCTACTCTACAAATATTGATTGGTAGGGGGCACTATTCTAGACCTTGGGGGGCATATTAGAAGTACCTTGAGATTTAGAGAATTCTGATGCCCAAGTCCCACCCCCAGAGATTCTGATTTAATAATTCTGGGGCAAGTCCTACGTAATGAGATTTTTAAATGCTCCCTGGGTGACTTAAATGTGTAGCTGGGGTTGAGGACCCCCATCCTAGGTGATGGGACTCAGCTGTGGGCAAAGCAAAGCTCCTCCTCTCTTGGAGCCAAGAATCGTGAGTGTGCGTGTGAGTGTGTGTGTGTGCATGCGCACGTGTAGGAACAGGCAATAAATAAGTAAAACAAGGAAAATATCAGCTGGCGACAGTAAGCCCAGAGAATGCAAGCTGAAAGGTGGGGTGGCCCCTTCAGCACGGCCGAGCCAGTGGGGAGGATTCCTGGCCTGGGTGGGTGGCTTAGAGCCCAGAGACCGTAGTCTTGGCCCAGGTTCCCAGGACAGCTCTTTGCATTTCCACAGCCAAAGTCTACATGGGTGTGAAACAAGAGATCGCAGAGATGCGGATACCCACCCTCAACGCCTACATGAAGGTAGCGGTGGGTCACCTTGGCACCTGGGAGGGCCCCTGGGAAGTTAGCACCCCTGAATGTGGCCTGGGAGCTGGCTCTCCTGCTCCGATGGGCCCCATCTTCAAACCTTAATCTTCTCCCCTGGGGAGAGAAACAGGATGTGTTCTGGGGGCTCCAGGCAGAGAGGCAGAAGCAATGGAGAAGGTACAAGGAACCACACTTTGAATTGACAACTCTGGTGTCTGCCAGGTGTTCTGATACCGAGGTGAATAGGATACAGTATCTGCCCTCAAGGTACCTGCTGGCCAGTGGGGAGAAGGACAGGTGGGTCACGAAATCATAAAACCATGGCCTATGTAACAGAGGCGTGATGCGCCAGGGCCTCAGCTCTCTCACAGAGTGCCTTTGTACAAACTAGAGAAAGGCCCTTGGGTATTTCCCAACCTGTAAACTGTCTGCATCCCTAGGAGATGAGAGCACAGAGACAGAAGCACCTTGAAGGCAGAGACCAGCTGGTCAAGAAAGGCCCTCTACCAATCAGGACTGTGCAAGAAAGGGACAGTGTTCCTCATGAGGTAGTGAGCACCCCGTCACTAGAGGCATCCAAGCCATGGCTTGATGGCAACCTTAGGAAACTGGAGAGGGAAGCCCTCCTCATAGCACAGAGGCACCCTCCCAGCCAGCGAGGGCTCCCCCTCCTCTTCTACTCTCATGGCTGAAGGGCACAGAGCTAGGAGTCTTCAGTCTTCACTCTGACATTGACTGTTTGGGTGATTTGGGGCGAGTGGCTCATCCTCTCTAGGCCTTGGTTTCCTCACCTATGAAATATGGCCGTCCCTCCAGCTCGCTGGTCTCATGGGAGGGGAATGAAGTTGGGAGCTTCCAGAATGTGAGAGATCATAACTCCTAGTGGAGTGAGCAGTGGGAGGTGGGAGGCAGGAGGAGAAGCCCCAGCCCTCTCCAGCGGCTGCAGGAATCCTGGGCTCTGAGCAGAGAAGAGGGACCGTGGGAAGCCCCTGGGCCACAGCAATGGAGGCATCTCCCCTCAAGGGGGCGCTGTGACAGCTTCTCCTTCGGGGTGGCTGGAGGCTCCTCTCTCCCCCTGCAGGGCTTGGAGAGGAGTGAGCTCTGGAGGGAGGGATGAGGCCGTGGAGCTGGGGCTCTTCCTCCCACACCTGGAGGAATCCCATCCTTTCTGTCTGATTTGGTTCCTCAAAGCCCAGGAGTCAATCGGTGCAGGAATCTCTGCTATGGGTAACCCCAGCCTATGCTTGAAAGGTTCAGGGATGGGGAGCTCACTACCACGCTTCCCTGCTCGTCCCCTGTCGGACAGCTATTAGAAAAATCTGATTCCCTGTAACGTCCACCCACCAGTCTCCCCACTGTCCTCATGGAGAATATGGGTCGTGTGATAACGACCCCTGCCTGGAACGATGTGGGGTGCTTTGACCGGCAGCCGGGAGGCTCTTGATATACATTTGTAGGATAAACGAATAGACTTGGTTATTTCTCTCAATAACTTGTGAGTTAGATGCCATTCACCCTATTCACAAACGAGGAGGTGGAGCCACTCACTCCGTGTGGTAGAGCAGCTGGATAGGAGGGTTGGGGATTCAAACTCGCGGCTCTGTGTACCCACTGCGCTATGTCGTAACGAAAGCCACAGTGACAGCGATCTTTGCCAGCTCTGACGGTGCACCTGTTAGATTAGATGCCTGGTGGTGTTCTAAGTGTCGTGCACACGTCACTCATTCAATCCTTACGCCATCCCACAAGGCAGACGCTAGTATCATTCCCACTTTATTAATGAGCGTACGGAGGCTGGCTTGCCCACGGTCACCCAGCTGGTGAGTGGGATTTGATCCCAGGCCCCAGCCTGGCTCAGTGTCTGTGCCCTTAAACCCATCTCTGGGCTACCTCCCAGCCCTCCCCAGATGACAGCCATGTCCTTTCCGGGCTCTGCATTCCCAGTTCCTCCGGGATGGACCTCCAGGTCTCCCCCTTCCTGCTGCCTCCATGGGATTCTCCGAGGGGGTCCAGGTGCCTCTGGAGTACTCCCGGGGACCTGTGCGTTGTGCAGTTTGGGGGGAATGACTGCCAGGGTCTGGGTACTCTGCGTCCTCACGGAGAGCCTAGTGGTGGGTGTAACCAACATGAGATTGAGTGAGGGTCCCAAGTCCACTGCTTCCTAGCTCTGCCAACTGGGTCAGGTCCTTTGCTTCTCTGAGCCTCAGTTTCCCCAACTGTGTATGAGATCAAGTATCAGAAAGCACTTTTTAGGCTGTAATACCGCCAACTGTTGTTGGTTTGGGTCATTTGAGGTATCCTTCCTCCCACTATTATTTGATATTTTATCTCAGGGCTGGGCCTTGGTGGCAGATGGCTCTGGGTGGCCCGGCACTGTCACTCGCTAGGCCAGGCGGCCTCGGGCAGGTCCCCTAACCTCTCTGGCACTAACTTTCAGGTTGTTGTGAGACGGAGCGAGGTCACCTGGTGTGGCACTCAATGTGGTGCCTGGACAGTCACCTCCACGTCATTTTACCTGCCATTACCATTATCATTGTGTCTGGAGGCCTTTAGGTTTTCTCCAAATGAACTGTCCTCAAGCCAGTTGGTCCCCTCCTGATCTTGAACCCGGGAGGAAAGCTTCTGAAACGTTACATGTCTTGTATGAAATGAAATATGTCGTTTCTGTGATCAGGCAGAGAAAGCGGTACTAGAAAGAGCGGGACCAGGGTGGGGGATGGGGATGGGGCAGAGGGGCTGGGATGTCCAGACCTTTCTGTTGACCACCCCCCTGTCCTGCCTCCTCTCCCAAACGCAGAGCCTCCTCAGCCTGCCCATCTGGGTGCTGATGGATGAGGACGTCCGGATCTTCTTCTACCAGTCATCCTATGACTCAGAGCAGGTGCCCCAAGCACTGCGCCGGCTCCGGCCGCGTACCCGGAAAGTGTAAGTGACCGGCCGCTGCGCTCCCGCGGGCCAGGCCCTGGGCCCCTTACCAGGTGTTCCTAACTGGGCGCTCTGTCCCAGATGCCCCCACGGCCAAGGTACGTCTTTTCCCTGGAAGAAGAGAAAAACTAGACATCAGTTCTATCCCTGAACACCCCAGGATGTTCAGCTTGTTAGGTGAGCTTGGAAAATCGAGCACAGGGCCTGGAGGGATAGAAGGTGGGTACATTTTGATGTGTGTGACAGTGAGGACCGGAGGACAGGGGCTGGGCCACTGATGGGGAGAGTTGGGTGTCCCAGTCCCCAGTGGGGATGCCTCAGGACTCGGGGTGCCTGGAGAGAGTGGAGAGTGGCAGGGAAGGGAGGAGTTGCTCTCTCCACAGACATTCCCAGAGTATATCCTGGGATGCCCGGTCCCCCGGTCATGCAGTTCCATGGGGCTGTCTGTGGCTTCTGGTGTATCACACGGGCCCCCAGGGGACACTGCTTCTTCCTCACTGATTCCGAAGAGCCCACCACTCCCTTCCAGCTCCCTCCTAAGCAGAAAATAATCACAGAAAATCCAAGCCACTGTGATAGGGCTGGGCTTCCAGAGGCCAGGCCGTCGCTGCTAAGAATTCCAGGGACAGTGCTCCTGAGCCCTGGCCTCCCTCCCAGGGCCTCCCTCCTTCCTCAGGCTAGTATCTCTGAGTGTCCTCTCGGTGCCTAGCCGTCTCCCCGGGGCACGCAGGCAGGCCTCAATTCCAGCTGAGCCACGCGGCAGCCCTGTGCCCCGAGCCCTGGCACAGAGGGCCTCTCCAACCCATTTCCTTGGCTGAAAAATGAGAGGTTGGGTGTGGGAAGTAGAAGGAAGAACAGATGTGAAAGGGTTGACAAGTTAGGGTGCTGAGCAAATGTGTATCTTCCTCCCCACCTCCTTGCTGAGTCTCTGTTTCCACAAAGGGGATACAGTCCCTCCCCCATGGGCAGTGGGAACCCGTGCGTGTGTGTGTGTGTATGTGTGTGTGTGTGTGTGTGTGTGTGTGATGGCCCAGAGAGCAACTGTAGCTGCATTTTTAACAGCCTCTCCCTTCCCTGCCTTTCCTGCCCCTGATGAGGGGCTGCTTTGGGGACAGAAGCAGGGAGCCAGGCCCTGAGGGACCCAGGAGGGCTGACGGGCCTTCCTTTTCTCTCTGCAGCAAGAGTGAGTCCCCACAAGGTGCCATCTTTGACCGCATGGCAGCTCCGCGAGCAGAGGTAACCTCCACTGGGCCAGGCCTCCCACCTCACCTCTGGGCTCCACCCTTCGCCACTGCACCCCTCCTCCTGGGCGCCCTCAGTGTGCCCACAAATGGCGCTGGGTGCTGTGGGTTGGAGGGGCCTCAGCCTCGGCCCTAAGGGCGCCCAACCCAGCTGACAGGAGGTGATATGGGGAGCACTCAGGCAGAGGGGAATGCAGCCATCTGTCATCCATTCAGCAAGCTTTCCTGGCCTCCTCCAGGCCAGCCCCACCCTGGCGACTGAAACGTCAGAGGTGACTCAAACCAGGCCCTGTCCTCAAGGAGGTCCCAGCTCCCTGGGGACACACATGTGGAAACAGTGTGGTCAGTGCCCTGGGCTTATGGGAGCACTGGAGCCCACACTGAGGCCTGGGTGGGCTGAGGAAGGTGCTCGACCCAGGGAGTTTGGATCCTTGCCTCTCTGTGCTCATCCCACCAGGTCTGAAAGGAGCACCATTCTGGAGTCAGAGAGACCTGGATTCTAATTCTGGCTCCTCCACTAACAAATGGAGTGGCCTCAGACAAGTCAGTCATGCTCCCTGAGCCAGTTTCCTCATCTGTTAACTGGGATGCTGAAGTATGCAAAGCAGTTTCGTAGGAATTCAATGAATGCTCCCTTCCTCCTGCCCTACTCCACTCTTTTCCCAGGCCCTGTTTGACTTCACTGGCAACAGTAAACTGGAACTGAATTTCAAAGTTGGAGATGTGATCATCCTTCTCAGTCGGATCAATAAAGACTGGCTGGAGGTGAGGGTGGGGTGAAGATGGGGGTGAGGTTAAGGGTGAGGATGGGGGTGAGGATGGAGGTGAGGTTGGAGGTGAGGTTGGAGGTAAGTTTGGAGGTGAGGATGGGGGTGAAGTTGGAGGTAAGTTTGGAGGTGAGGATGGGGGTGAGGTTGGAGGTAAGTTTGGAGGTGAGGATGGGGGTGAGGATGGAGGTGAAGTTAAAGCTAAGAATGGGGATAAGTTTGGAGGTGAGGTTAGAGTTGAGGATGGGGCTAAGTGTGGAGGTATGCATGGGAATGAGGATAAGGGTGAGGTTGGGGGTGAGGTTGGAGGTAAGTTGGAAGTGAGGTTGTTTGGGTCTGGTTGTGGGGGAAATCAGAGGGGACAGAGTCAAGGAATGCTCCAGGAAGAGATGCCCTCTGAAGATAGTCCTGGAAATCAGAACAGCTGGGTGGGGGCAGCTGGGGGGGAGGCAGGTGTGTGACTGGAACAGAAGATTCTGGAGACCACACTTGCCTTTGGTTCTGATGCCAACAAACAGTTGCTTCAGGCAAGTTGGTGAATCTACTGAGTTTAATATCTTGGTCTATCATGGGGTTTCTCAGCCGCGGCACTGTTGACATTTGGGGCCAGATTGTTCTTGGTGTGGGGCCATCCTGTGCATTGTAAGGGGTTTAGCCGTATCCCTGGTCTCTGCTCACTAGACGCCAGTAGCAGTCCTGCAGTTGACAATCAAGTGTCTCCAGACATTTGGCTCTGGGGGACAAAATCACCCATAGCTGAGACTCACTGGTGTGTCATCTGGGATGCCTTGCGGGCAGCGAGAAAAGATAGTGATGCAGACCTTGAGCTCTGGAGTCAGACTGTCGTGTCATTTCCTAGTTGTTTTTAACTAGCTTTGCGTCCCTGGGAACATTGCTCAACCCTGTGGTTTCCTTCTCTGTAAATGGAGATAGCTGTCGGGCAGTTTCTTCATCGCGGCCCTGGGAGGGCTGACCGAGGCGCAGCTGTTGGGGGCTTGGCCCATAGAGGGCCTAGATGCATCCATCTGGCTGGTGCCGGGGCTGCTGGGAAGGTGAAATGAGACTCTCGACGCCAGGCCCTGTCTCGATGGTTGCTTCGTCCCCACGTGCGACATGCTTGGCCCCTACGGGGGCTCATATTGACTCAGTGAATGGAGATGGGAGGCCCTGGCCCTGGTTCCAGCTGTTTGGATTGGGTCCTGCTGTTCTTAAACAAGATTCCCTTTTGTTGAGGCTCCTGAAGCAGGAGGTGTCTAAAGGAGATGGTGGGACGGGCCCCAGGGGGACTCCGGGGAGGGCAGGGTCCCTGGCGTCCAGGGGCTAGAGAGGCCCGAGGACCATGGGTTTCACGGACTTGGCAGCTTTGATTGTACCCCAGTCCTGGAGCCCTCTCTTGGGACCCTGTGCTACTGGGTATTGCTGAGAAACTCTCCAGAAATAGGAAGTGCTTGTTACCTTCCTGTTTTCTTGAAAGTTCTCTATGTTAGTAGGCTGGCCGATTTCTGACCTCAGGTTAAGGGGAGGGTCAGGGGAGGAGTGAGGGGACTACTTTGAGCCTCAGTTTATGTGTCTGTAAAATGGGATTGGGATAATATGTCTTCTCTAGGGTTGTGAAGATTAAGAGAACATGTGGGCAAAACACAGGCGGTGGCTGGGTCGTGCATGGCCGGGGCTGGAGAGAACTTTCTGTCCGTTGGCTCTAGAGCAGCTGCTCTGTGCTATCTGCGGAATGAATGAATGAATGAATGAATGAATGAGTGAGTGAAGGGACCACCTCTTCCTCTCCCCTCCTCTGGGTTCCTCCTTAACACCCTGGCCACTGGCTCAGCGTGAAGCTCACCTACTTCCTGCGCAGTGGCCATCACCCATTACAGTACACGCTCCCGGAAGGAGTCGCAGGGACTGCCATCCACCCCGAGTCCCAGGGCCTGCCACGTGGCTGGTGCTCATGAAGTCTCTGAATGAAAGACTGAATTAGATGAAAGCAGCTTCCCAGATAAAGTGCGATCTTGACTTATTCTAGAACAGAAATATGTCTTGGGGTGAACAGCATGGCGACCTTTGTCACTTTTTCTTCTGCTTCTGCATACGACCTCGTCCACATGATGATAAGGGAGCTTGGGGGGCGGTTCGGTCCTGCTCCCTCTCCTCCCACTGACAGCGCAGCCCCTCCTTTCCTCCCCAGGGCACTGTCCGTGGAGCCACGGGCATCTTCCCGCAGTCGTTCGTGAAGATCCTCAAGGACTTCCCGGAGGAAGAAGACCCCACCAACTGGCTGCGCTGCTACTTCTATGGGGACACCATCAGCACCACCAAGTTCGTGGCCTGGCCAACCCCCACCCGCCCCCAGCCCCACCCCACCCCCCACATCACACTCTGGGCTCTGAGACCCAAAGCAGATCTCCTCGCCCAACTAAAAGCCCTCCAGATAAGCCATACCTGGGTAACAAGATGTAAGATCCGGCGTGGTCCTGCCGGCCTTGTTCCCGTGTCCCCCTTCGACCTGATGCCTGCTCACCACTGCCCGTTGTCCCCTTAGGGACATCGCCGTGGAGGAGGACCTCAGCAGCACTCCGCTGTTCAAGGACCTGCTGCAGCTCATGAGGTGAGAGGGGCGAGGACGGAGGGCAGGGGTCAGACACCCTGGAGGAGAAGACAGAGGGAGGAACACAGCGCGTGAAGGCGCTAGGTGTTTCGCATTTCTCTTATCCCCAGCCTGGCGCTGCCGGGCAGATATCAGCCCCCCGTGACAAAGATGAGTGGGGGTCTGCACAGAGACACACAAGGGCTTGGAGGAGGCCACACAGTTCATGAGTGTGAATTTGCAGCTACAGCTAGAGTCTTCCTAGCGAAAAGCCTTGGACTTGGGTCCTCGGCCATCAGAGAGCCACCACCTCCCAAGAGCCAGCCTATTCACCCAGAATGGAAATAACCTTGTTCTGTTCCTATGAAAGTAATTCCTATTCATAATTAAAAAACACAAGATGTCAGAAATCACAGAAAGGCAGAAAGAAGTGAACTATAGATAGGCCTCCTCTCGTTATTAGATGCACACGCAGGTGGCCTCAGTGCCCACCTCCAACCCCCCCATAAATATGACGTCAGCGGGCTGCGCCGTGTCATTCTGGGGATGCACCACAATCACTGTAACCACCCCTTCTTGGCCGTTTAGATCATCCTCCGCTTTCTCACTACCAGAAAGAATGCTGTGATTCTCCTATTTGGTGACTGGCACGATTGTTCCCTTACGATGAGTTTCTAGAAGTGGAATTTTGGAATCAAGTTGTTTGCAAGCCTGTCAGGCTTCCAACCCCATTTGTCGAGTTACCTATGGAAAGGTTGTATCCGTTTTTACTGTCACCAGCCTCGTGCACCCCACATCAGACAGTCCCAATCCTTAAAGAGTTCTCCCCCATAGCTGTTCACAGCTAGCTCTGGGAACTTGATTCTCTCTACTGTGTGCCTGGCCAAACTCACGCCTCCTCCCCACGACAGTTCTGAGCTCTGCGCATGTATACACAAGGCATTTCAAGCTGTGCCCCTAATTTACTGGGCAAGCCCCTTCTCCCCCGTAGGTCTCAGTTTCTCCATCTGTACAATGGGAGGATGGACCACACGGGTGATAAGGCCTGTGTCAAGCTCTGACCTCTTCTGATTCTTAGATCCTGGCTCTAAAACTCCCTCAGCCCCTGCTCCCTGTCTCCCTGAGGCTTAGGCCTAAGGCCCCCGGATCTTTTTTTAACCCTGGTCTTTCCCACCCAGGCGGGAGTTCCAGAGGGAGGACATCGCCCTAAATTACCGGGATGCTCAGGGGGATCTGGTGCGGCTTCTCTCAGACGAGGACGTGGCGCTCATGGTGAGGCAGGCCCAACGTCTCCCCTCCCAGAAGCACCTCTTCCCCTGGAAGCTGCATGTCACCCAGAAGGATGACTACGCGGTCTACAACACTGTCCCCTGAGCTGATGGTGTCCCTGGGGCAGGGAGGGACACTTGGTAAGAAGCCCTCCGAGGAGATTAGGACCAGGAAAGCCTGGGAGCATGGGACAGACTTCCTGGTTTGAATCCATGAACCGGCTCGGCTTGGCTTGTATTCTGTCTATCTGCACACTTGGTCTCAGAATTAAATAAACCCTTTCATCTCAAAGGTCCAGACTGTGAAAGACAATATCTTTTGAGGAAAGAAAGGAGAGGGAGTAAAATCCTCATTAATAAGCGTCAATTAGGGGTCATTTATATAGGGAAGGGGGCTCTGGTATTGGGCCTGTATTCTAACTGCCCCATTCCTTTGCTCTGTCCACCAACATCAAGATGTTGGCAGGGCCATGCTTCCAAGAAACCCATTGGGCTATCCTTCCTTGCCTCTTCCTAGCTTCTGGTGGTTTTCTGGCATTCTTTGGCATTCCTTGACTTATGAATGCATCATTCCCATCCTCCATATTCACATAGCGTTCTTCCTGTGTCTCTTCACATCTTTTTCTCTCTGTGCATGTCTGTCTCTGTGTCCAAATTTCCCTTTTTTTTATAAGGACCCCAGCCATATTGGATTAGGGCCACCCTAAGCACTTCATTTTGACCTTACTGCCTCTCTATAGATCCCATTTCCATGTAAGGTCCCATTCTGAGGTACTGGGGGTTAGGACTCCATCATATATTGGGGGGGATGCAATACAATCCATAACAGCACACTAGAAAATATCCACTCAACAAAAATTCAACAGACCTTGAAAGCTCCATTGTAGCAAATCCAGTTGTTTGGCTTCTAACATGTTGCCTGACCAGACTGATTGAGGGGCCCTAGATAAGACACACTCTTCAAAGAATCACAGCCTTACAAGAAGTAGTGGGGTTCTTCAGTGACCCTCCCTCTCCCCTTCCTCCCAAGCCCCCCATGTCACAGCTGGGGCCAGAACCCACAGCATGGAGGGGTGGGGGTTGTTCTGAAATGCAGAGGCTGCACTGCTGTCAGAATGCTTGAACCCCAGGGAGGCCATGATGTGGGGAGGCTGGACCAGGGACTCTTGTGATGGGTCAAGGCCCTGGGGCTGAGGGCTGAGTTGATCCTGACAGAGCGACATCCCTGCCTCCAAGCAGAAGCAGAAGGAAGCCCCCTCTGGAGTGAAGTGTCCTCACTCTGGGATGATGGGTTTAGATGAAGCAAAAGCTCATAGTCAAAGATCACTAACTGTCCATGAGTGAGAATAGGCAGTGAGAATAAGCAATAGCTTTAGAGCCCCAGGGACTACAAGTTTTTGAACTATGTGACTAAAATGTTTAGAGAAATAAAGGATCAAAGCATAAAAACTAACAAGTTGAAGAGAATGACCAGGCAGATTTGTAAAAGAGAGCTGGAATGTACATACACACTTAATGCGTGTACCCACATGCAGATGTGTGTGTGTGCACCTGCTGAAACAGAAAACCCAGTGGGTGGGTTAGACAGTGTATTAGAGAGGAGAAAACCAGTGCATTGGAAAAGAAAATCAAAGAAATTACCCAGAATATAACACAGAGAGACAAGTGGTTGGAGAACATGAAAATGAAGTTAAGAGATACAAACAATAGCATGTGGTTTTGAAAAACCAGAATCTCAGAAAGAGAAAATATAGAGAATGGAGAAGCAATGTTTAAAGAGATGGCAGATGAAGTATTACAAAACTGATGAGAAACTCAAATCTGTGGGTCTAAGGAGCATGTCTGGACAAGCAGGATAAATAAAAAGTGGTCCATCCATGGCTACAACATTTTGAAACTGCAAGAACACTGAAGTCAAGGAGAAGATTTTAAAACTGGAGAAGGTTGAGGTCACTACAAAATAACAATTAACATGATAAGCAGACTTCTCAGTATCAATGGAAGCCAAAGTCAATAGCATGATATCCACATTTTGGAGACAAAATAACTTTCAATAAAGAATTATATGCTCAGTAAAACCATCTCAATAGTGACGGTGAAATGAACACATGTACAGATAAAAACTGAGAGGTTGCCACCAAGATCCTTGAACCAAAAGTATCTTTAAAGTACATCTTCAGGAAGAAAAAGATCCTTGAGGGACAGTCTGAGATGCAAGCACATACGATAAGCAAAAGCAATGGCAAGTATTGTGGTGGATTTGTCTTACATTGACTTAACTAAGCTGATACAATATTTCCAAGAACTTCCTTCCCTATGTGGATCCAGATTGGTGTGAGCCATCAGAGACATTTTGCAAGAGATTCAGAAGGCGGATATTTGCAACAACAAGCTTCTTTTTAGTAAAGAGTTATATATATATATCTGCTGGGTCACAGTTTGGAGTTTCAGAACACAAAAGACAAAGAGAAGATCTTCAAAGCAGTGAGAGAAAGTTGAAATTGCCACAAAAGAACAACACTTAGAATGATAGCAGGTTTCTCAGTAACCCCTTCAGTGTCAGGTCCCAGCTCCTGTGCTGGATGTGTGTTTAGCTCTGTGCCAAAGGGCACCAGTTTCCTCTGCAAGTCACCCTCACTGGACTCTTGGAGGTGGTGAGAGGCTGATGTGGTTCCAGCCCGTCCTCATGGTTCCAGCCCGTCCTCATGGTTCCAGCTCACACCTGGAGGTTTCTGTTTGTCCTTGCTTCTCTTAAATCACACGTGTCGGGGCACCTGGGTGGCTCAGTCGTTAAGCGTCTGCCTTCAGCTCAGGTCATGATCCCAGGGTCCTGGGATTGAGCCCCACATCGGGCTCCATGCTCGGTGGGGAGCTTGCTTCTCCCTCTCCCTCTGCCGCTGCCCCCTGCTTGTGCTCACTCTCTCAAATAAATAAATAAAATCTTTAAAAAAAACCTTCCTTTAAAAAATAAAAAAGAAGCGTTAAAGGTGAGTGGGGTTCCTCCTCCTAGAAACAAAAGGACAGGAATTCTCCCCCAAGGCCATCAAAACAGAATTAGCATCACTGGACACAACTGACCATTCTGTACAGGATAAGGGCAGGGTCTATGGAAGTTCTGGAACCTTTGTGACTTCCCTCAATTAACAGAGTTATTACCCATTTTTCTTTTGTAATCAGTAGGAAAACAAAATCCTAAGAACGTCGAATGCTCTCATGGCAGTTTTGAAGCATCCTGCCTTAATGGGTGTTGGGGGAAAGGAACCCCTGAGGCTGCAGAGGGAGTGGCCATGTGAAGAGATGGTGATGCAGAGAATTTTAGGAGCCTATAGAAGAACCACCTGCAGAGAGGACTGGGCTAGAAGGAAGGAGCAGTGCTGGGGGTCAAGTTTCTGGGGCAGCTCCCAGATGGGGGAGGCCCTGATGGCCTTGATCCCTAGGGCTGATGGATGGCCCTGGACCCCTGCGCTGATGGATGGCCCTGGAACCCAAAGATGTTTACCCCACACAGGCTGAATCTACTCAGCTCTCTTCATCCGCCTCCCCACCAAATCCCAACCCCTCCCTGCCTCGTCACCTGAGACTGTCTGGTGTGAGAGAATACACATGTCCAGTCAGCACCCCCACTTCCATACTAATCACCCCAAGACACATGCTTACCACTTCCTCTATCATACTCAGGAGTGTATCAATTCAAAGGAAACAGTTACCCAACAGAGAGAGAGCAGTCTAGAGACCTGAATAGAACCACGGTCCAGAGAGCAGGAGAATCTCATGCAAGGAAGATGCATTTGAAATTGAGAACAGAGTCTGAGCACTCCGTGAGTTCTAGACAAGTCCCTGCAATGGTGAGGTGGGGTAACGATTCCCAGGATGGGGTTAAGGGGCCATGTGGGCCTCAAGCTCCCTCTTATGTCTCTGTCAGCTCCCCCAGCCAGGGCTAGTGCTCTAGTTTCACCATGACTGTGCAAGGTCCTAGCCCAGCCTGACTTCTCTGAGCCCAGCACCCTACACCCACCTCTTCTGGCTCCTCTATCCACACCTCCACCCTCAGACTGCCTTCAGTCAGAGACAGCTCCAGGCCTTGAATCACACTCACAGGATTTGTCTGTCCAGGCCTCTCTCCAAGATGCCTCCTGGGGGTCCCTGCATTCTTGCCTTGGGCATGGCCTTCAACCCCTCAGGACAGAGTTTTCAGTGATGCCCTTAGGTCCTCCTTTCCCATGCATGAGCCACTGTCCCCTCACTCCCCAGCTGGAGGTTCAGATCCATCATCAGTCCTAGGACTAGAGCTGACATAAGATGGGAAAGATGCACAGGGCCACAGCTATTCCCCAACCCTCCTAGAGACTCTGTTCTCACCCCTGGGTCTAGCCTTGTTTTTGAGAGCCAGGGCCCATTTATGCCTGGCAGCTGAATTTCTACATACCTCTCCATACCAGAGGCCCTATCCTAAAAAAGCTCAAGATGATCCTCAACTTGATAAAGAATATCTACAAAAACCTACCATTGACATAATACTTAATGATGAGAAACCTGAAGCTTTCCCACTAAGATCAGGTACAAGGTAAGGATGTCCCTCCTCACGATTCCTTTCCAACGTTGTACTGGAAGTTTTAGGTAATGCAATAAGACAAGAAAAGTAAATAAAAGGTATACAGATTAGGAGGGAAGAAATAAAGCTGCTTTGTTTGCAGATGGCATGATTATCTATATAGAAAATCTGAAAGAATTTTTTTAATCGCCTGGAAATAATAAGTGATTATGACAGGTTTCAGGATACAAAGTTAATATATAAAAGTCAATCATTTTCTTATAACCAGCAATGAACAAGTGGAATTTAAAATAGAAAACACAGTACCATTTACATTAACACCTATACAAAGAAATACTTAAGTATAAATCTAACAAAATATGTATAAAATCTATATGAGGAAAACTACAAAACTCTGAGAAACAAAATCAAAGAATAACTAAGTAAATGGAGAGATATTTCATATTCTTGGATAGGAAGATTCAATATTGTCAAGATGTCAATTCTTTTCAATTGATCTATAAATTCAATTCAACCCCAGTCAAAGGGGTAAAAAGCAAAACTATGAAAGTCTTATAAGATAACATAGGAGGAAATCTAGATGACCTTGGGTTTGGTGATGACTTTTTAGGTATTACACCGAAGACATGATCCATGAGAGAAATAATTGGTAAGCTGGACTTCATTAAAATTAAAAACATCTTCTTTGCAAAAGACAATGTCAAAAGAATGAGAAGAGAAGCCACAGACTGGGAGAAAATACTC